TTGCATGCATACATGCACATATACAGTCCATCCATACACACATGCACCTAGCCCCCACACAGCAGCTTACATGCACAGTCCACACATACAAGTATGTAGCCCACACAGAGCATGTACAGAGTCCATACATATACACACATGCACGTGGTCTGCACACACATGCACGCGCACACACACACAAACTGGTGACTTGCTTTAAAGTCCTAGATATGGTTGGTGAAGAAGCCAGAATGAAAGATTTGGGCTTTCCCAATGTTGAACTTCTTTTCCTATGAGGAAACGGTTCTAAGGTAAGTTCACAGAAATAATATAATGGAAAGGAGGGAAAGGTGTTTCAAGTTTGGGGAAAAAAAAAAAAGACCAAACCTGAACAAATTGTTTCAGACTCAAGTGAAATGGAAGCAACTGGGAGCCTGACCTCTGCAGCTGGGCTGAGCCACGCTCTTGTCTGGGAAATCCCCCTACACATAAGAGGGCACGGAAGATTCTGTGCTAAGGATTTGGTTTTGAAGGCTAATTTATTTTGTTTAACTTGCTTGGGTTACTCAAGGTATCCTTGGGCCACTGAAGCTGCCCCCTGGAGACCTTTTCACCCTCCCAGGTCTTCAGTTGACCAAGTAACAGGAGATGGTAAAGCCCAGACAGTATTGCTGTTCCTTCTCCTGAATTCCTGACTTGAGGACCTGGAGGCAAAGCTTCAGTTGTTACTGAACTCAGAGTCCCCTTTGCACAATGACCAGGATTCCTGATTCCCTCGAACTGGTGGTTTGTGATGCTGCAGCCCCAAAGTGCCCGGTCTTCCAACCCTCCCTCCATTCTGGCCCTGGCAGGAAGTCCTGTCCTTATCCTCCTGGCTCCCTGGTCAAGAAAAACCCCTTTCCTTCTGGGAGCCCCAAGTTTCCTCCCCTTGAGCCATAGTTCAGGAGTTTTCAGGACCCCCTCCCCTTTTTGGGGTGGCTATCTCTCATCCTTGCACCTGAAACTTTGTCTCTTCTGGGCCATTTGAAGATGTCCTGTTGGGTGCTCACAGGGGTATGTCTCATTCAGGCAGTCTCATGTAACAATCTTATTTCAGTCCAAACCACAGCCTTTGATGGCCTTCCCCCCAAGTTCCTGTTTCCCTTGTATTCTGCAATGACAGCTCACCTGTCTCTAGCAGGACAGCTTGGCATGCTAGCCTTGGTGTGGACTGGAGTCACACCTCAGACGCCCCTCCCTGCTCACGTCCCCACAAGCAACACCAAGCAAATCAGTCACTTAGGGATGGGGAGGCAGGGTTAGGGTGAGGATTCCAGACTAGAATTACGGAGGGCCTTTGCCGGCCTCCCCCGGGGGCTGGAAGTCTGCACTGTTATCATCGTTGCACAATCGGCCTTGTGCACCCGACAGTATGAAGTATGATCATCCCCAATTCCAAATGAGGAAACTGAGGTGAAAAGAGTCTAAATGATTTGGCCAGAGCTACCAGCTAGTGAGTATCAGAGCTGGAACTCAAACCAAGGCCTTGGGGCTCTAGGGCCAATGTGCTCCATGGCATCATCCCACCTCCCCTGACTCGGCCACCCTTTTGGGTCTCAGCTTGAGCTGCTCCACTCTCTAGACAGAACAGGGATTTTCTGTCCGGTCTACTGCAGTTTTAACTCTAAGAAGTAATCGAGACCAATTGTTTCAGTATATGCCACAGCTCCAGAGTCCTTCAGATTAAGGGTTCAAGATGGGTGGGGGGGGGGGTTTGCTAATTAGAATGACCAAGAAAGAGTCAGGAAGGCTTGGATTGCAGTTCTGCGTGGACACCCTGGTTCTGTGGATTTGGGTCCATCAGTAAACTCCTCAGGGCCCTCTAAGGCTACATTTTCAATGAGTTGTGTCAGTCAGCCCGGTGGGAGATGAGGAAGGCGGGGGACAGATTGTTATGCTAACAGTTCTTTTAGTGGATGAAATCAAAGGGCTGTTGTCCAGATGTGATTCAATTTATGTGGAGAACTTTTGGTATAGGAATGACTACCACCTCCCAACTCATACTGGTTGATGATATAATTTATATACATATATATTTTATGTATACATTTATGTATGTATATTTATATGTAAATATGTATCATTTGTATTATCAGTCAACAAGCATCTCTTAAGTACCTGTCACGTGCCAGACCCCACTAAGTGCTGGAGATATGAAGAAAGGCAAAAATCAATCCCTGCTCTTAAGGAACTCCCGGTCTAAGGGGGAAACAGCACGCAGGCAACTGTGTGCAAACGAGATGTAGACAGAGTGCACTGGGGATCACCTCTGAGGGGGAGTACTAAGGGGGACTAGGAAAAGCTTCTTGCACAGAAGAGGATTTTAGTTGGGACCTAAAAGCCAGGGAAGCCAGGAGGCAGGTGAGAAGGAAGAGCCTAGACACACACACATAGGCACAGATACCTGAGGAGATGATCAGTCAGCAGGTGGAAAGCCATGTGTGAGAAACAGCCAATGAGGAGGCCAGTGTCACTGCATTAAGACTGGGGTGGGGAGTATGTGAGGAATGGAAAGGTAAGAAGAGGTTAGGCAGAGACAGATGAGAGAGGAGGAGGGAGTGAGAGAGAAAGGGAGGGAGGGAGAGAGGCAGGGAGGAGAGACAAAGGGGGGAGGGAGGGGCAGGGAGAAAGAGAGAAGGGAAGAAGGAAGGAGAGAAAGAGGGAGGGAGAGAAAAGAGGAAAGAGACAGGGAAGGAAAACGAGACAGAGAAACAGGCAGAGAAATGAGAGTGACAGAGACCCCAGAAAGAGAATGAGAGAGGCAGAGAGGAAATGAGAATGAGACAGAGGCAAAGAAAGGAGAGAAACAGAACGACATGAACAGAGGAAAGAGAATGAGAGACAAGAGAGAGAGGGAGGAATCGAGGAAGTAATAGAGAAAAACAGACAGAAAGGACAGAGAGTGGGAAGAGAATGAGAGAGAGAAGAAGAAGGAAGAGGGGAGGGGAGAGAAGAAGAGAGGAAGGAAGAGAGAGGCAGAGAGACAGAAAGGAGAGAGGGTGACAGAGGAAAGAGAATGAGAGAGACAGGCACCTTGATTAAGCACTTAGGACGTGCTAAATTCTGGGGATGCCAGTACAACAAATGGTCCCTACCCTCGGGGAGCTGACATTCTAACAAGAGAAGACCGCCTAGAAAAGGGAGTTGGAAAGGGGGAGGGAGGGAGGCAGAGACACCCAGAGGGTCAGGAGCCCAGGGCGTTTATATAGCCCCTGCTATGTGCCAGACACTGCGCTGAGTGTTTTCCAAACGCTATCTCATTCGGTCCTCCCAAGGACTCTGCAAGGTGAGTGCTGTTATTACTCCCATTTTACAGATGAGGAAACTGAGGCTGAGAGGGTGTAAGTGACTTGCCCAGGGTGTCTGAGGCTTTGTGCATTTGAAGTCAGGGCTTCCTGACCCTCGAAGTCTCTCATCCATCCACTGTGGCGTCTCCTCGCTGTAACTGAGGCAGGAGGTCAGACAGCAATGTGGTCATGACAAAGGTAAGGGTCTGAAGATCAGGGCACTCCTGAGAGTCAGTGTAGCCTGAGGAGCAAATTGCCCCTCCTCCTTTCAGATTTAAAAAGCTCAACCTGCCTGGAGCTCAGGACCTGAACTAGGCAGCATGATGGGCGGTGCAGTACTAGCAAAGTCCAGTAGAGGGAAGCAGAGTCTGCGTCCTAACAGGACCTTGTCTGGCTCCCGAGAGACACTTGTGAAGGGAGGGACAGAGGGGACTGGATGGACCCTGTGCCCCATAGATCTGACTCTGCTTTACTCTTCTCATTGACTGACACATTCTGACTTGACTCCGCAGATTCAGTTCAGTTTCGTGCGGATCTTCTCGGCCCAGACACTGGAGTAGTTTGCCATTTCTTTTTCCAGCTCGCTTTACAGATGAGGAAACTGAGATGAGCAGAGTGAAGTGACTTGGCCAGGATCTCACTTCTAGTTAAGTGTCTGAGGCCAGATTTGAACTTAGGTAGTCTTCCTGACTCCAAGCCCAGCACTCTGCCCACTGCACCACCTAGCTGTCCTTGATATCAGCAGATAGTTCCCACAAATACCTTCACCAATCAATCAATAAAATGTATTAAGCCCCGTGCTAAACAATGGGGATACAAAAAAAGGCAAAACACAGTCCCCACCCTGAAGAAGCTTATAATTTAATGGGGGGACAACATACAACATACATACATACATACATATGTGTACATGTAAACTGATATCTGTGTATAGTATATACAGGACAAATAGGAAATAATTAAGAGAGGGAAGGCACTTAGAATGAGAGGGGTTGGGGAAGGAAGGCTTCCTGTAGGAGGTGGGGACTTAAATTGGGATTTAAAGGAATCCAGGGAGGTCAGGAGGCAGAGTTGAGGAGAGAGAGCATTCCAAGAGTGGGGGATGGCCAGAGAAAATGCCTAGAGCCAAGAGATGGAAAGGGAAACCCAGGATTTTTTCCATTTGGATTTTTCTGATTATTAGTGATTTTGAACATTTTTTCAGGTGGTTATTGATTATATATACATATATATGTACATGTATGCATCTATTTTAAAAGCTGTTTGTTTACATCTTTTGCCGACTCATTCTATTAGAGAATGGTTCTTAGTCTTACATATTTGTGTCAATTCTACGTAAATTTCAGATGTTGGACTTTTTATTTGATTTGTTTTTTCTTTTTAAAAATTTATTTTATGTTACATTTTAAGTTCCAAACTGACAGAAATGATTACTTCTCTCTCATATTAATAATCAATTATTAAATTAGGACAGGAATTTTTTCAGAAGCCTGTAGGTTGTTCAGTCTCTGAAGGACATAGCTGATAATGAGATTGGATTCACTTTCTTAACAATCTTGTTCAGACCCCACCCAGGTGGGGCTCAACTCAGGTCTAGGTGGAAGTAAATTCTCTGATTATGACATCATCAAAGTCATTAGAATAGGTCCACCTCTCATTGTAATATTCATTAACTCTCATTACTTGTTAACCAGAGTCCATTGCCACTCTCAGGAACACCCGCCCTTTCAAGAGCATGTAAGTGTTGAGCAGGTTCCATGAGGGGTCTTTGGCATTGGAGAGTGTCACTGACCTTTTTATTAATAATATGGTAGCATTATTAATAACATGATTAATTACCCAGAAACTATGTCTCTTGAACTTTTTAAATGTCACAAAAACTTTTTTCCTCCCTCCCCACCTCACACTAGAGAAGGCTACCATTTGACACAAATGTATTTTTATATATGTATATGTGTGTGTGTATACACATACACATATAAAATCATACTCTATATACTTCTGTTTATCATTTCTTTCTCTGCAGGTGCATAGCATCTTTCTTCACAGGTCCTCTGTAGTTGATTTCGGTATTTACAATACTCAGAATAGTTCTTCACAGTTATTCTTTAAATAGTATTGCTGTTACTGTATACAATGTCTTGGTTCTGCTCATTTCACTCTTCATTATTCATGCAAGTCTTTCCATGTTTTTCTAAATCTACTAGCTCATTGTTTCCCATACCACAACAATATTCCAATCCAATCACATTCTATCTGGGAGATTGTCTGTGAGAGTTTCCCCCCCCAATTTTCCGCATTCCCTCTATTCTTGACTACATGCATTTAATTTAAAGTAATCAAAATTATCCATTTTACACTTCAACACTGCTCTCACCTTATAATATGGTTTAAGATCTGATACTACCAAATCTAGTTCTTTCACATCATTTCTCCCTGGTTTCCTTGAAGTTCTTGACCCTCTGCTGTTATTTTTTTCTGACTTAGTAAGATAATTTTTTAGTAATTTAATTGGGATGATATTACATAAATAGATTAGTTAGGTAAAATTGTCATTTTAAAAATTATATTAGCTTTACCTATCCATGCACAATAAATATTACTTCAATTACTTAGATCTAACTTTATATAAAAGATGTTTTGTGTTTATGTCCATATAGTTCCTGCATCTGTATTGGCAGGTATATTCCCATTTTTTAGACTGTCTAGTTGTTTTATATGGTCTAGAACTATTGATTAATGTGGCTGATACATAGTATAGTTTTGGGGCAGCTAGGTGGCGAAATGGATAGAGCACCGGCCCTGGATGCAGGAGGACCTGAGTTTAAATCTGGTTCTGGCCTCAGACACATAACACTTTACTAGCTGTGTGACCCTGGGCAAGTCACTTAACCACATTGCCTAACCCAAAACCAAAAACAAACATACTATGGTTTCCTTATTTTTCTCTTTTAATTAAAATCTGATTTTAGCTTTAATTTCGTCTGAAATAATGGTTACTATTCCTGCTTTTTTACGTAATAAATTCTACTCCTGGCCTTTATGTTAGTGTGTATCTCTCATTTTTAAAGCATTTCCTAAAAGCAACATATTGTTCAATTCAAATGTTTAATCTGCTATCAGTTTCCATTTTATGAGTAAATTTATCCCATTTACATTCTAAACTAGAACTACTTGTATATTTTCCTTCTTCCTATTTTCCTCAGTATACTTCTCATCCTATTCCTATCCTTCCTCACTCCTCTACTTTACTTCTACCCACTACCTTGCCCTCCTATTCCTTAACCTACCCTCCTCTAAGAATCCCTCCCTTATCCTCTCCCTCCACCCTATCCCCTTACCCTCTCACTTCTTTCTGAACTTAGAAGATTTTTATACCCTTCTAAATGCATACATTGTTCCCTCTTTATCCCATTCCCACTATACCCCTTCCCTTCCCCTATTCCCTTATCCTCTCCCTCTAAGCTGAACCCTTACCCTCTAATTTCTTTCTGAATTTAGAGGACTTTTATACTCTTCCTAATATGTATGTATTATTCCCTCTTTAACCCATTCCTGATGAGAATAGCGTTCCAGAACTACCTGTCCTCCTCCCCCCTCTAATTCCTCTGTATCAGTTCTTCCTCTTGCACCTCATTTGTATGAGATAATTACTCTTTTTGCCTTTTCCTACATCACTTTGCCTTTTAGAACCACGTCATACTCAGTTCTTCGCCACTCTTTCTTTCAGGCTACCCAATTACTAATGACAGTCTTAGGCATACAATTTACATTTCCACACATAACAAGTAAACAATTTGTCCTTATTGAGTTCCTTGTAATTAGTCTTTGATGTTTATGTCATATTTCTCTTTAAGAAGATGTTTATCTTATATTTCTCTTCAAGTTTTCTATTTAGTTCTTGTCTTTTTGCAATAAAGTCCTGAAAATCTGTCAATTCATTGAATATCTGGGTTTTTTGTTTGTTTGTTTCTTTGCTAGGCAATGGGGTTAAGTGGCTTGCCCAGGGTCACACAGCTAGTAAGTGTCAAGTGTGTGAGGCTGGATTTGAACTCAGGTCCCCCTGACTTCAGGGCCAGTGCTGTATCCACTGGGTTGTTTTTTTTTTCTTTCACTCCAGATTGTACTTGACTTTGCTGGGTATGATATTTTCAGCTGTAACCACATTTCTTTTGCTCTTCAGTATATAGTGTTCCAAGATGTGTGGTCTTTTAGTGTTGTCACTGCTAGGTCTTGTAATTCTAATTTTGGCTGCACCATATTTGAAGTATCTTTTAATCTTATTGCTTGTAATATTTTCTCCTTAACCTGGGAGTTCCTGAATTTGATTATGACATTCCTGTAGATTTTCCTCTAAGGATCTCTTTCAGGTGGTGATAGGTGGATTTTTTCTGTTTCTACTTTCCCTTCTTGTTTTAACACTTCAGGACAATTTTCTTGAATTATTACACGTATTATAGTATCAAGATTCTTTTTTTGATCATAGCTTTCAGGTAGTCTGATTATACTTATGTTTTCTCTTCTTGATCTGTTTTCCACATCAGTTGTTTTTCTTATAAGATGTTTCACATTCTCCTCTATTTTTTTCATTCTTTAAATTTTGTTTTATTATTTCTTGGTCTCTTATAACTTTGCTGGCTTTCCCTTGCCCAATTCTATTTTTCAAGGAGTCGTTTTCTTCCTTAAGATTCTGGATCTCCTATTTCAGTTGGTTGACTTTATTTTCATAATTTTCTTGTTTTTCTTGGATTGCTCATACTTTAAAAAAAAAAGTTTTCCCTCAATCTCTCTTATTTGATTTTTGAAGTCTTTTTTGAGTTCTTATGTGAATTATTTTTGTACAGGTGACCATTTATTTACTCTTTGGGGTAGGAGAGACTCTTTTTTTTGCTTCAGTATCCTTCTCTGAAGATGAATCCCAGTCTTCTCTATTTCCATAGTAACTATCTATGATTGGGTTCTAGCTTATCATTTCTTACAACATAGTAGTATTCCATCACAATCTTATACCACAACTTATTTAACCATTCCCCCACTGATGAGCATCCCCTCAATTTCCAGTTCTTTGCCATCACAAAGAGAGCTTAAGTGGAATGGAAGAATATTTACAAAAATGTAAACTGCCTAGATTATAGAGTTATAAATATATATATGTATATATTTCCAAGGCAATTGGGGTCAAGTGACTTGCCCAGGGTCACACAGCTAGTAAGTGTCAAGTATCTGGTCTGAGACCAGATTTGAACTCAGGTCCTCCTGACTCCAGGGCTGGTGCTCTATCCACTGTGCCACCTAGCTGCCCCATATAAATATTTTAGAACATATAGGTTCTTTCCCTTTTTCCCTGATTGCTGTGGAAAACAGACTTAACAGTGGTAATGCTGGATCAAAAGGTGTACACAGCTTTATAATTCTTTGGGCATAATTACCCCCAAAATGGTTGGATCAGTTAACATTTCCATCAACAATGTATGTGTCCCAATTTTTGCACATCCTCTCCAACATTTTTCATTTTCCATTTCTATCATTTTAGCTAATCTGTTAAGTGTGAGATGTTTCAATATGCATTTCTTCAATCAATAATGATTTCATATGACTAAATATAGCTTTGATTTCTTCATTGAAAAACTACCTGTTCATATCCTTTGGCCATTTGTCAATTGGGGAATGACTCATATTCTTACAAATTTGACAGAATTCTCAGTATTTTTGAGATATGAGACCTTTATCTGAGAATCTGTCTATAAAGATTTTCCCCCAATTTTTTGCTTTCCTTCTAATCTTAGCTGCATTGGTTTTATCTATACAAAAAATTTTTTAGTTTGATATAATTTTACGTCTTACAATGCTCTGTATCTCTTGTTTATTCATGAATTCTTCTCCTAATAATAAATCTCGTAGGTAATATGTTCCAAGCTCTTCCAATTTATTGATGATATCTCCCTTTATATCCAGGTCATGCATCCATTTTGACCTTATCTTATAAATGGTGTAAGATATTGGTCTATACTGAATTTCTGCCAGGTGTTTTCCAGTTTCCCCAACAATTTTAACCAAACAGTAGTTCTTATCCCCAAAGCTTAAATCTTTATATTTGTCAAATACAAGGATACTGTAATCATTTACTACTGCATTCTGTATGTCTACCCTGTTCTACTGATCTACCTTTCTATTTATTAGCCAGTACCAGATAGTTTTGATAATTATCACCTTATAATATGGTTTGAGTTCCAGTACTGCTAAACCTTCTTCCTTTAGATTTTTTTCATTAATTCCTTTGAAATTCTTGACCTTTTCTTCTTCCAGATGAATTTTTATTATTTTTTCTATCACAATAAAACATATTTTTAATTGAGATGGCATTGAATAAGTAGATTGGTTTAGGTAGAATTGTCATGTTTGTTATATTGGTTCTGCCTACCTATGAACAATATTTTTCCAATTATTTAAATCTGACTTTATTTGTATAGAAAAGTATTTTATAATAATGTTCATATAGTTTATTGGCACACAGTTGTCTTGGCAGGTATGTTCCCAGGTATTTTATGCTGTCTGTGGTTATTTTAAATGGAGTCTCTCTTACTATCCATCCTTGCAGAGTTTTGTTGGTGATATATAGAAGTGCTGATAATTTACGTTGGTTTATTTTCTATCCTCCTATTTTGCTAAAATTATTGTTTCAACTAACTTTTCAGTTGAATTTCTAGGATTTTCCAAGTATATCATCACATCATCTG